GTACAAGGCGAGGCAAAGGCCAAGCTTTCCAAGGTACCAGAAGGTGACAGAGAAATAGGATTTCAGGTCCAGAAAATAAATGTCCCATTCCTTTCCAAAAAAGGTTTAACATATGGACAAGACCAAAAAATGTGTGTATAAATGTTCGACACTCCCTCCAGCAGGAGTGCTGTGACCCACGTAATTTGGATTTCTGGTTGGGGGATAACAAAGAAAGCAGTTCAGCAGTTTGACCTTTGTGGAACTGAAATCTCTTTACCTCTTCCAACCATATTTACATTGAAAAAAACAACCTGTTGATATTGAAGCTGGAGTATTTCATTAACTTTACTGGGACAGCCCAATACTGACTGAAAAGGTATGTCCATTAAAGATATTTAGAAAGACAGGTAATCTTTAAGTTAAGGTAGAACAATGTTCTGGGGTACATTGGGGGATTTGCAGCTCGTTTCACCTGCCCAGTGCAGTTCAGGTAAAGTGAGGACCATGTCTGCCATTTTATCATTGTTGGATTCATTTTACATTTATCAAAAGTTCTGCCACTTTCCATTCCTCTGGATCAACCACCTCCGCTGCCAATATCCACACTGCTTGGAGATGTTTCACATCACCTGTTGCACTATGATACATGTCAGTCTGTTCCAATCATGAAACACAACCTGCATTTAGTATGTACTTGTTCAAGTAATTTAGATTCTACCAAATGGGTTAATGTCAGGACAAGTAGGTCTGTACCACTTCATATTTAAAGCCAGTCATTTCAGAGAGGCCAAAGTGAACCACCAAACCAGTCTTTGAAAGTATGGCGATTGGCTGACAAAACATTCTCAGCACAAGGTGTCCGCTCAGTAAATGTCCAGGAACTTTCGACTGTATCACACAATCTTCCCCAGTAGATAGTCACTTGAGCACTTGAAGGACTCATGGTCCATGCTTGCTTCAAGATTCAAATCGAAAGTTCAGTCATAACATTGGAAACAGAAGTTGACAAAACATTCTTACCAAAAGGTCCACTCTTTTTACTCATGACTTCCTGAGTATTGTAACCAAGTACTGTACTCAAGTACAGTTTTTTTGGTGTTTATACTTGAGTATTTCCATTTTGTGCATTCATATACATGTAATATTGTAGTTTTTGCTCCACTACATTTATCAGATACAGTTACTCCTTATTTTAAAAAATAAAAAGAGATCATCTTAAATCTTGGTCACTTTTCAAATGGTTCAGGTATGCACACAACCTGAAACACAGTAATCAAAGTGAAACAGGTTTGTCATTATCAAGGCCACAAGCAAAATAAATGGCTGCTTAGGGCCCGAGCAGCCAACAGGGGGCATGTTTTTATGCCTTACTATACTGACTTTTTATTCCTTACTATACTATGATGTTTTTATGACGTACTATACTGACATCTTTATAGTATGACTTTTTATGCCTTACTATACTATAACCTTTTATGCTTTTTATGCATGTGGCAAGCTTGAAGTTCCTTGGCATCCACATCTACGATGATTTCTCTAAACACAACAGCGCCTTTACTTACTACGGAGCCTCAGGAAAGCTCAACTGTGTCCCAGGATACTGGTGGACTTCTACCGCTATACCACTGAGAGCATAATCATGAACTGCATCTCAGTGTGGTATGGCAACTGCTCCGCATCAGACCGTAAAGCACTCCAGTGTGGTTCCCACCATCGAGAACATTTACCATAAACTGTGCCTGGGTTAGGCGAGGAACATTATTAAGGATGTCTCCCACCCTAACCATGGACTTTTCACCCTCCTCCCATCTGGCAGGCATTACAGGATCCTTTGCTCCCGCACCAGCAGGTTCAGGAAGAGCTTGTTCCCCGAGGCTGTGACCCTGCTGAACTCCACAACACCACTCCAATAGCATCATTGCACTCATTACTGCACTGTTTACAGTACTTTTATGATGATGTTATTTGCACTATTCATATTTTGCACAGACTAAACCACCTACACTTCTAATGATGTTCAATAATGACATGTAACCAACTGTACATAATTATATTTGTATATATACTCTACAGACTCTGCATATAACTTAATGTACATATGCTGTTTATACTGCATAACATCACATCAAAACTCTTTATTATCTAACTCTGTCCACTTCTCTGTACAGATGTATTTAAATTATTTACATACCACCTCTCACTGAACATATGGTAGTATATAGCCTCACTTATGCTGTAGTACTTACTTTTTAACCTGCACATATCTGTAAATAATGCTATTTTACACTTCTGGTTAGATGCAAACTACATTTCATTGGCTTGTATCTGTACTGTGCAAAATGACAATAAAGTTGAATCTAATCTTAGTCTGAGTTTTTATGTATTACTATACTATGACTTTATGAATAACTATACTGTTACTATGACTTACTATACTATGATTTTTTATGCCTTATTAAACTATGACTATGACTTACTATACTATGACTTTTTATTCCTTACTATACTATGACTTATTGTACCATACTATACCATGAACTTTTAAGCCTTAGTATCCTATGACTCTTTATTTCTTACTATAATGTGACGTTTTTATGTCTTACTATACCATCACTTTTTAATGCCTTACTATACTATGACTTTTTATGCCTTACTATATTATGACGTTTTTATGCCTCACTAAACTATTACTATTTACTATACTATATACCATCACCTTTTAATGTCTTACCATACTATGTTTTTCTTACAAATTACTATACTATGACTTTTCTATGCCTTAATATACTATGATGTTTTTATGCCTTACTAAAGTATGACTTTTTATTCCTTATTATACTATGACTTTTTATGCTTTATTATACTGAGTTTTTATGCCTCAGTATGCTATGACTTTTTATGCCTTACTATGTCATTTTATGCCTTTCTATACTATGACTTTTAATGCTTTACTATACTATGACTTTTTAAGCCTTACAATACTATCGCTTTTTATTTCTTATCATAATATGACATTTTTATGTCTTAATATACTATGACTTTTTTATAACTTATTATACCATGACTTTCCCTGCCTAAGTATATTATGACGATTTTATGTCTTACTATAATATGACGTTTTACGTCTTATTATACTATGACTTTTTCATGCTTTACTATACTATGACATTTCTATGCCTTACTGAACTATGACCTTTCATACCTTACTATACTGACTTGTTATGCCTCAACATACTATGATTTTTCATGACTTATTATACTATGACATTTTTATACCTTACTATACTATTACTTTTTATTCCTTACTACACGATGACCTTTTAATGCCTTACTATACTATGACTTTTTTATGCTTTATTATACTATGATGTTTTTATGCCTACAATAGTATGACTTTGTGATGGGGAATGGAACCTCAGGCCTGAGGCCTTTCTTTGTGGAGCTTGCATGTTTTCCCTATGCCTGCATGGGTTCTCCCCGGGTACTCCGGCTTCCTCTTCTTTCCAAAGACATGTACATTAGTTTAATTAACGACTGGAATGCCTTACTATGATGTGACTTTTTCTGCCTTACTATACTCTGACATTTTCATACTTTACTATATTATGATGTTTTTATGCATTAAATAGTATGTTTGTATTTTTGTCCTTTTCTTCATAAAATATCATTTAATTCAACCATACATGTCTATCTTTTATATTTCCATAGACTATATAATGAACATATACTGACAAGCTTCAGGATGGATATATATATATATATATACAGACATACTAAAATACATGTTTGTATTAGCCAGGCATATATATCAATATATGATATTGTTCCAATATCTAACAGGATACACATGTAATTTTTACGTACATAGGTTATACTGTATATACATATATGATTTTACTTCATATGTTCATATATTTCATATATGGAAATTCAACACATGCACATATATTGCATTTGCGTACGGGCGTTTTTTAATGTCAGTTCAGATCTTATATGTTAATAAACTGTTTGGTTGATGTCGATCTCAATAAAAAGTCAATCTCTGTTTTGGAGGGGTGGCGGGGTTGTTGCATCCCTACTGATGTTGAGACCAAAATCTACGCCCTTGACCAAATCAAATTCTGCTCAAGGCCCCATAAAGGCTTGGGTCAGCTCTGGTCATTATCACAATACAGTGATCGATACAGTTATACAATAACATAGGAGATAGTTTAATTATTTTTAGTGGAGGAATGTAACTAAGTATATTTACTCAAGTACTATACTTCAGTGGAATTTTAAAGGTACTTTTCAGGAGAAAATATTGTACTTTTTACTCCACTACATATATTTGAAAGTTTAAGTAAATAGTTACTTCATGTATTCAGATAATTAATATAAAATATAATCACCAAATAAATTCTGATGTATTGTTACGGATTAAGCTATCAAGTTATACAACTAGCTATAAAAAGTAGTTAAAATTAGTGCCACTTCTACAGGCTGCAACATTAAAGTGATGCTTAAACATCAATGCATCAAAAACTATACAATATATTACTCTGAAATGTGTGATTTTGTATGAATGTGCTTTCACCTTTTGATGCTAATACTTTTGTACAATGCAATTCTACATTGTTGTATTAGTACTTTTACTCATCAAGTAAAAGTTCTGAGTTCTTCTTTCAATGTTAAACAATTGCAGTATTGCAGCAGAGCATGTTGGGTCATACTGACAGAGACATGGCATGGATGCCTAGTGGCTGCATTCATTTAAAGGCTGTTTGAGGAGCATACAGTCTTGCTGAATGAATTTACGGCATGTGTTGCATTGAACCAAATGATTCCCACAATGCTTGGAGGGGGGGGCCTATCCAGAGGAGGCTGGGATTTCTTTCTTAAACACCCTCTTCCCTCCCCTCAGCTCCATTTCCATCTACTTATGCACTTGTTCCGCAAGAGGCATCCTCACTGTCTCTCCTTTCAATTGGAAGTTTTAGAGAAACTTTGCCTGGAAATAGTAGACATTAAGTCGTGCTTCTTGCTCCTGGTGCAGCTGCTGCTTTACACCAGGTAAGATAAACTGTTGTTGGGTTGTTGAATTGATCTTGTTAGGAAATTAACTGGACGGACACGACAAACAAGTTGATAAGCGACTACATTGGGTTTAGTTACTGAGTATTTGACATTATTGGGGTGTAAAACATACACCGCAACCATGAAAACAGCTGTTTCCAAACGGTGGCTTCTTGCTTTTTTACTTACTCGACATGATCCGGTGGTAAAATAACACGAGTTGTTCTTTTTCCTTTCCTCTACGTCGTAATTTTGACTTTGAACAACTTAAAGCCAGTGTCGTCAGTTCGGTTACTAGCTTATTAGCTAAAGTAGCGTGAGCCTCCATCTACCAAATCTCCATTTGCGAAGGCAGTAACTTAGTAAACGTGGGAATATGTGTAGGTGGCTAATAAGTAGTCACCTGCAGCCACTCCTGTTTCGACTTCACACCTGTCACCTGTTTGTTCTCTTATACACTGATACTCCAACGCACCTGTCTCTGTTGATTCAATGTGCTGTTAGTGCCATGGCATTCTTCATTCCCATAAAAAACACTAATGGCGTCAAACCAACTTTATTTTTAACGGCTTGCAAAACTCCCCCAAAATCAGAGATTAAACATAACATAAGATTTCACACAAAAAAAAATGCGTCGCGATATACTCGGAATGATATTAAACTTTAAAGGTTAAAATTGCAGTAACAAAACGCAAGATTTCACATAAATAGTGCGTTAGTATATACGCGGAATGATATGAAAATGTAATAGTTAAAACTATTTCACAAAAAATAGTGCCTTGTGATACACGCGGAGTGACATGAAACTTCAACTGTTAAAATCACAGTAACAAAACAAAGGATTAAAGACAAGAAACACGAAGAAAAAAGAAAAATTTTTTCTGCTCAAATTTTGCAGGTAAAACATCTGGAAAAGCAAAATACTGAAGAAGTTGTAGTTGAAGTCATGGATGGTTTACTTTGTATGGAGTTTTGTTAGCGTTCTGTGACACAAAACAAAAAACAAGAGATGTGCAAAGCAGTCCAAAAAAAGGGGCAAAACAACCACAAAGAGATGCAAAACTTCTACAAACAGATACAAAATAACCACAGACGCAAAACAACAAACAAACACAAAGTGTGGGGGTCCTATATAGAAGGGGTGGGGGCCCTCTTACCTGTCTGTGCCCCGGGACCCATTTCTCATAATGTGCCCGTGATTGAAGTTGTAGTCAAAATATAATTACTGAAAGAAACTGCAATGGCAGTTAAAATGTCAGTGCTGAAATAAATTTCAGTTAAGCACTGAATTTGTATGTAATAATTTAATGGAAACCCTGAGTAAAGTTGAAGTTCAAGCACTGAAAGGAAATGAAATCATTGAAGTGTACATGATGAACTGAGCTGGAAGTGTCAGTAGAAGTAGAGGTCTTGAAAAAAATTGTCAGTTCAAGTGTGAACTAAAAGGGAACATTAGATGGAGTGTAATTGATGAAAGAAATTATGTAAATTGTGTATGAACATTGGAAGTTTTGAGTATTAAAAGGGCCGAAGAAGGTGAAGGTGTGGGACCTCATGGTTTTAAATATAAGTATTAAATTAAAGTATTATGCTGGTGTTGAGAGGTCAGTTGAGTCCTCATGCTAATGGTTATAGTTTCACGGTTGTTAACCATCGATAACCTGGTTGGTAGAAGACCATCGGGCCCTTTCACTTTGTCATGTAATGACAGAACATAAGTAACTCTGACTTGTTCTGATAGTTTTGTTGGTAGTGTAATTAGGACCCATGTCTTTTTAGCTGAAGCAATTTTCCACAAACACAGCGTTTAGCAGTTTTTCCCCTATCTCTCAGTCCTCTGCAGGATACTTGGCAGACTTGTTGGTCTTGTTTTGTCTCTTGTGTTTCTTCAGGGAATGACCTGTATTTCATGCTGCTCTGCTCCCTTTCCACCCAGTGTGAATCATTTGAGGTGTGGCTGCCACTCACAACATGGGGCTGATCCATACAACCACAATATGGCTTGTAACATACCACGAGGCTTAGAAACAAGACTTTAAAGAAAGTAATATGAAACTAAGGCTTGGGGGAAAAGTGTTCAAGCAAGTGGCACTCTAAAATTGTTTTTGCTTTGTTCGTTTGCTGGGGAAGTTTGTAGATCTTAAATGTAGCATATGGTACTTGGAAACCATCATATAGAAAATACTTTTGTGTGATCAGTTAAGTCCAAAGTATAAAGTTTCTTCTATTTCTATCCCCAGAGAACAGAAGAGTAATGGCCAATATCATATGATTTATTTGGCAGAGTATTGTAATACAAACTGGGACATTGTGATTCCTCTATAATTTTGTTTTCAGGACAAAACACGAATTTGATACTAGCAACTAGGGCTGCACAATTAATCAAAATATAATTGAAATCGCAATATGGGTGCACTATCAAAGAGCAATATCTAAATCGCAGGGGCTGCAGTTTTTTGATAAAGGTAAAATGTGTCACAACATTGTTATGCATTGTTAGCACCATTAGCATTGTGGTGCTGGTCATGATTTCAGTTGGAATGCTAATTTTTGCATTTCATTGTCACAGAAAAAAATTAAAAAATGATGATGGGCTTTTTGTTGGTTCTTGTACCAAATAAGTATGTCCCCTTACATCTGGAGAATATGATTTGTAGGCCAAGACATCTCTGTAGCACCACAATGCTTCATTTAGGGTATGTTGTGACACAGTTGACCTTTTATCAAAAAGAAATTGCAGCTCCTTTTGGATATTGCACTTGGCCATATTGCGATTTTGATTATATTTTTGATTAATTGTGCAGCCCCAAGTGGCACCAAATTTGGTACAGACCTTCATGGCTCGTAGAGGACGAATCTTAATGACCTTGGTGACATTTCCTCTGGTGCCACCATCTATTGGTGGGTCTAGCTTGTTATGATTTTTTGATCCCTTAACCCCCCCCCCCAAGCCCAAAAATAATGTACCCAAAATAAAAAGGTTACTTTGCCTATATCCCTCTGATTACACTCGAATGCCCTTTAAGAAGTGAACTGATGTACAGGCTTTCTACTTTGGCCTTCTTCTTGAGCAGCACTAGGAAACACATTTAGTCTGACAGACTGAAAGGTGAAAACAGAGCAGCACTGCTTTTCAAAGCGCAATTTCATATTTTCAGGTGCACCACATTATTTATCAGTGTATTTTGATTTTTAGGATTGATTTTTGAGGACACAAACAAAAACGCTATACACAATATTATGTGCTGCAGACACAGAGGTTTCTGGTCTTTGCAGCATGTGTCACTGTGTGTCAGGCAGGTGAGCTAGTGGTTAGCAGGGGAGCTCCCGTGTGAGTTTGTGCCACAAATTCTTTAGTCAAACATGTTATGTATGTTTTGGGTGTGTCTGACTTGGAACAACTGCTGCTTTTCTTCAAAACTCTTTCTTCAAAACTAGATATAGATATAACTAGAATACAGTTTGTAGCTGTTGTGACTACTTTCCATGTTTATATCCCCCATCCTTTTAGGTTCAAACATTTTCTGTCATGCATTGTTAAAGCTTGTTTGTTCGGTGTGATTTATGTTACCACCCACATTATAGAGCTGCTTTCCTCCTCCTGTCTGATTTACCACAAGCTTTGCCACCGCTGAATCAGGTGGAGGCCTTTGTACACAACTGTGGATCAGTCTCATTGACCCTCAAGGGCCCATTAGCATGTGCATACAAACAGACACTCATAGACTCAGTCAGCAAGGTCACTGTGGTCCACTGCACTAAGACTGGGACACACTCTGCTCTCTGTCAGAGTTGGCATCAAATTCAATCAGATTGTGACCAAGAGCATCCAATGCTAGCCTTTTTCTGCACTTTCCTCTTTCGTTTCTATCCACTGGTTTAATACAATTTTTTCCCCTTTGTGTTTTTTCCAGTGTCACGAGGAAACTGTGGAAGACATATTGCGGAAAACAAAAAGCCAGACGTCTACACGAATAAGGTGAGTCATTTTCAGTCGCAGACGAGGAGATGATCGGCTTTTAAGTGTCATCTAAGGACAGAGATATGAAGAACACAAGCGAGATTTGAAAGGATGTGTCAGTCATAGGATTATTATGGACTCTGTTAACATTTTCACACCCCACCCTGCAGAGATGTGTATCTCAAAGTCGAGAAGAAAATGCTGGGTAGAAAAGAGCTCGGTGACAAACATCTATTGTAACGTGTCTTTAAAGTAGAATAAAAAAATGTTGATCCTTATGTCACTGTAATAAATCATGTCATTTGTAGTTGCTGTTACCATAGTGCAGCTCTGTGCTCTGCACCTTTTTTTTTTTTTTGTTGTGTCTTTTCCTGAGAGCTGGTCTGACTTGAGTTGTGTTGTCTCATTTTGTCAAACCAGTTCCCTCTCCACAGGGCTAGAGTAGTTTTGCAGCAGCCTGTTGTTTGGATTCAGCACCATGAAATGCACTGTCTACTTATAGCCCTTTTTTCTTTTGTAGGTATCTTGTTTGTTTAAGAGCTTGTGAGTCAGCAAAGTGGAGCTTTAGGTAACAAATAATAATGGTATGCTTGTTTTGCAATTCCTGTTTCATAATTAACTCTTAATCCTTGAAATCGTCATTACTTTTAATGTGGCTCCGGGTGATAATCTATGATTTTGACCGTCAGTGGTGATGTGTCATGTTGTGTTAATGTTGTACAAAGCTCTGTGTTCAGAATTAATAATTCAAAGGGAATTGTAATTAAACATAAACAACAAGTAAACAAGTTATTGTACTTTATGTTTTACACATGTAAATAACTTTGGCTGATGTAATGCATAACAGTGGAATACAGTTAATTTTTTCCATAAATCTGCCACTTTGTGATTAGCTTTATTGTGTGTTTTTATTGTTAGTTATCTTGCTGTATATGATGTAAACTTGACACACTTTAAAAATGTTAAGTGTAGACAGGAGGACAACTTTGTCTTTTCTAAAATCCCCTGTATTCATCCATGCAGAGTGAAACGACAAGGAAAACATCTGTGTGTAACAGTTATTTTAAACCTCATTCATCTGCACTTGTTTCTTATTTTCAACCCTCTAACATTCAGTCTCTCACAAGGTATTTATGTTTCTGCTCCTGTTACTCACAGACTATTTCTCTCTTTCTGCTTCCCTGTTGTTCTTTCTCTCGGCCAGCACTGGGGAACGTGTTTCTCCCCTGGCCTCCAATGGCCTCCCTGCCAGCTTCCGTAGCCCAGGCATGACTGTGACCCCCCCCCCCCCAAAAAAAATCCAGTCCTCAGCCTGCTTCCTCTTCTTACAACAATACGAGTCCCAGGTTGGTGAAAATTTTAAGAACTTCTTTCCTTCATGTACCTTTGTGTACAGACCACATTCCCAGTACAAGTGACAGTGTCTTGATTTAGCATTTCCTCATACATAAAACTGAAATTCAAGCTTAGTTGCATGTTTTTCCATGTTAATTCTGGGCCTGATAGAGATGTGCAGTATAAAACCTGATTCTGAGTCATGTGATGTCTTCTGTTGTTTTGCTGACATTTTTCCTTGTGCCGTTATGGTTGTGATTTCCTTGGCATTAGATAATTAAGAAAAATCATCATAGTGTGATTGTAGCTCCCATCTTGAAAAAAGGCAATAGTACCGAAGGCCGTGTGTGTGTGTGTGTGTGTGTGTGTGTGTGTGTGTGTGTGTGTGTGTGTGTGTGTGTGTGTTTGCGTGTTTTTGCGCTGACATCACATTTTCATTTACCTGCTGAGCCTTATCTCATCACATACCAACTAAACCCCCTCCAGCACAGATGGATGACGTGGATGGCCTGCGGTTGAAGCTCTCCTCTGAGGACTCTGTGTCACTGGCTTCCTCCTTGACTGAGCCCATCAACCTAGAAGGTCAGCTGGTCACTGTCGGTGTCAGTGGGGATGAGGAGCTGCTGAAAGCTCCCTGTACTTTTTTGTCACAACAGTGGGATTTAACTTCACAGCTGATGGAAACCTCAGTGTAGTTGTAATGTGGACTGACTAATGTCTATTTCTGTGAGGTTTAATCCTCTCCTATTAAATATATGTGACATTGTGCAAAGGTTCACTTTTAATAACTTCATTAATGATATTAATTAATGCTCCCCAAGAGTTTCGTCTTTTAAAATTTATATACTCATGTAGACAGTAAAGTTAGATTGACAGTGTGTAGGATGATTTCTTCACAGTAAAGACTCTTTGACCCAATGCACCCGCCAATAAAACCATATGATGTGCAAAAACTATTTTTATTCAGTACCCCAACAGCAACTTTTATTTTTGTGACAAATATTAATGACAATTAACAACTATTCAAGTGAATAAATGATCAAAATGAATATTGAGAATATTAAAGATGAGTAAAATTCTGCAAAACAAGGATAGAAATAATTAGTGCTGTTTATTTCATCATATTTTTTTGTCGCTAATGGACAGCAAGGAAGATCAGTGTGCAATGTGTAATGCTGTAGCTACAGTAGTTTGATTTTCTTTAAATGGATTTTCTATTTGTTGACCTAAATCTTTCTCTATTTTTGTTACTATGAAGTGACTAAAACCTGGATCCATGTAAAGAGAACTTTTGCCACAAAAGTAACACTGACTACTATATTTAAAAATGATTTAAAAATAACCTTACATGACCAGTAATGATAAACACTCATGACTACAAAGCACAAGCCTTGTTTGTGATACAAATTCTAGTGTGACTGTATATGTGTCATTCAGATTCCCATTATGCTCGGCTGCGAGGTGAGCTTGAGTCCGATGCCCAGAACCTGGAGGCGGAGTCCTGGAATGTGGCTGTGGAGCAGAACTACCTGAAGACCCTGAACAAAGAGGCTGTTAAAAGACAAGATGTCATCTACGGTATTCTGCACCAGCTAAACCTCAGCTTAAATATATAACTTATTGTACTGCTAAAGTGAAGTCGGATTTTTGGTAATCATGTATCATCTTAGAAGGTGTATATACGCGTGTTTATGTGTCTACAGACAGAACTTTATCAGGGCACTCAATGAAGAAGATGAATCTTTGATCAGTGACAACAGGTTACACAGTAATTGCACTACTTAAGTGGATATGACTGTAATTAAGGTGATGATGGATGTTTCCTTTAATTCAGAGGGCCTTTATGTAAACACTTATGTAATGAAAATAAATATAATGGCAACAGCAGTTTTGTTTTATCTAACGGTTCACCTGAGAAGCTATTTTCCAGCTCTGACCTACACTGGTGTACTGCTTTGTCTTACTTTGTCTGCCTCCATATGCAGGAATTGTTGTGACTGTAGTTCTTTTTGTGTTGTCAGCTTTACTAGCCCAACTTAGAGCGACATGCTTTGCTCAAAGGCACCCTGCTAGTTTTATCAAGGATGTTGTCATCATTGTACCCTTGACAGTGGCAGGCACTCAACCTCTGACCTCTGTCAGACGTAGTAATAGATCCCTCTTTATCAATTTCCCAGAGTTGATCCAGACGGAGATGCACCATGTACGCACCTTGAAAATCCTTCTCCATGTCTACATGCATGAGTTGAGGCAATCTCAGCTGATCGAAGAAGGCAGGCTGGAGCGGCTCTTCCCCAGGGTGGAAACTCTCCTCACCTTCCACCAGCACTTCCTCAACTGCCTCAAAGCACGCCAAAACCAGAGTCAGGAGGAAGGCTGCCCAAACAACTACCAGATAACACAGCTGGGAGATATCCTCATCTCTCAGGTACATTAGAGTAATTTTAAAGCCATGCCAGGCTGGATTTTCATGTAAATAATTGCATTTAATCAATCAATCTAATTCTTCTTCTTAAATCAATGGGTTACAATGGAGAGGGGGCATCCTGGGTTCTCTAATTTAAAAAGAAAGGTTTGTTTGGGGGGAAGTTTTTGAAATATACAAAGTTACAGAGGACAAGTTGGAAGAAATAGTTCTTTCTTCAAAAGAAAATGTCATTGTTTACTCACCTTCAGGTTGAAATGTCAGTAAAGTTTGTATGTCACCATAAACTACACTGGGACTTCAGGTACTTTTCCATGGAAGGTCTCTTCAAAACAGCTGAAGGCAATTGGGAAAAGGATCATGGATTAACTATAAACAGGTCGTTCAACACATTTTTATATTTAGGTGACCTTTACATTACATTTTGAAAGGTAAAGCTACATTGCCACTATCCAGTTGTTGCTTTGTACCTGTTGTTACAGGTTTGAGAGTTGTTCAACATTTATTTATATCTGAGGTCAATGATTTCTTTACGATATTGGCTTTATTAAGAGAGAAAAACATTTTTATACTAAACGCATCTTCTTCCTGCATAGCAACACCTCACTCTTTGTATAGTATATTCATGCACCTCTCTCCACCCTTGTCACTTTCTTTGCATGTGCTGGCTGAGTGTGCAGGTGTCCATAGGAATGGCTGGTATGTCTGAAACACTCTGAAAGTGACTACAGATGGGTGTTTTTGCTCCATAAGCCCAGGAATGATGCTGTGTCACTGGCATCACATTCCTACTGAAGCATTTTTACCTCTGGTCAATATCCTGAATACAGAGCCAGTGGAGCTTTTCATTGGGAATTGGAGTTTCTGGCATCAGTTCTTATCATATTAGCACTTTGAATCAACATTTCTTATCTACCATGCCTTGACTCATACTTGCGTCTGTATGTTAGGTGTGTGCTTATGGCATCAATTGATGAGCATCAAATGATGCTTGAGAGTGTGATCCTCAATGTGACAGTTGTGATCCTCTCGTCTTCCTTCAATTTTTCCCTTAAATAAACACAATGCACTGTTTTTTGTTTTTTTTTTGTTTAGTTTTCAGATGCACTGGGAGAAGGAATGATGGAGTGTTACAGTGTTTTCTGTCGGCATCACAATGAAGCCATCAGCTTCTACAAGGAGCAGCTGCAGAGCAACAAGAAGCTGCAGATTCTTATGAGGGTAAGCAATCTAACGTGCTGGTCAGTTTGTGTTCATGGATGTGATGTTCTTCAAGACACAGTGAGGCCTGTGGGTTTTTTTATTACAGAGAAAATGCACTGAAGTTGGCAAAAAGGTTAATGTCTTGAGCATGAGTTCAGTATCTTAGAGGCAGGACAAATGACAGTGATTATTAGAAAGAAAGATAAATCTACAAACTAAACTAGTCTGTGATGTTTAACACAAAACAGTAAACTGTTTGGCGAGAATAAAGCCAGATAACTGTGACTTGAATGATTCAACAACAAGCCAATTAACTAATACATTTGATAAATTTCTTATTTTTTAACAGAAATTGGGTCAGCTGCCTCTAGTGCGAAGGTTGGGAATCCCTGAATGTTTTCTGTTGGTGACTCAACGCATCACAAAATATCCTGTCCTAGTGGAACGAATCATCCAGAACACTGAAGGTGCCTCCCTCTTTTTACAAGTTGTTACAGTCTTTGTTCAGCCTTTCAGTGTTTAATTCATTAGTCGTCAATGTAAAAGTGAAATTACTCCAGTCAAATAAGCTACCTTCTTTGATAAGGCAAATTCTGGCTGGGATGGTCCTGCGTGTGAGATGTTTCCATTGAATGTAAATAAAGTCTGGTTGATTAATATATTTCATGCTCCTTACAGCTGACACAGACGAGTACAAGGCTCTGGTTCAGGGTTTGGAGCGGATCAAAGACACCATTTCCGAGGTGAATGATCAGGTCAGTGAATATGAAAAATTTGTTCGTCTGAGAGAGATCGGCCTGCGTTTGGAGCCAAAATCTCAGGGCCGGCAGAAGGACGGCCAGCTGTTCCGCAGAGAGGATCTAATCCAGGGAAACAGGACGCTGCTGCACGAAGGCGCCGTCACCTGGAAGTCCTCCGGTAGACAGAAAGGTTTGTGGCAAGTGTAATGACATTGTGGCTCAGCCGGTGACCATTACTCATGTGTATATTGAAAATTTAGTTAGACTGATGTTCTGAAGGTTTTGTTACTTTTTCCCTGCAGCATGAGGAAAAAAACAAACATTTTTTATAAGGTAATCTAAATCTCCCCAACAACATGGCTCTTTCACAGCATTTCCTAGTGTAATAAACAAAATTGCATTTCCTTCTGTGGAAAATAGATAATTAAATGACAAATTTATTAACAAATGTATCATTTATTTATTTGTGGTCCAATAAAGGCAAAATTGCAAACAAAAAATCTTGATGATAATAATGTGTGCATGATTAACTATAGCCTTTCTGTTAATGTTACTGCATTAAGTTCAAACCTGAGCCATGTCACAATAGTGAACTTGAGATGGATGTTTAAAAGTACCGGCACATTCATGGTCTGAAGAACACGTCTTATGGAGGTCCATCCATCTTCAAATGTGACATTTGAAATGCTGCTTGTCCAATCTTGACAGAACGTTGATTATTTAAACTTGAAAAATGATGTGTGGAAAATTAGACTTCCTTACCAAAGCGAAAATTATATATTAAGGCTTCAAAGAGACTCAGTGTGAAATCTGCCATAGATGTTTATGTGGGTTGAGATTTGCATTCAATATATTTCCCTTCTCATGCTGGTTTTTACATTAATTTGTCACCTGGCTGTACATCACACAATTTCCTTTAAAATTACAGGAATGATTAATGGGGTCACCAAAGGTCAAAACATAACCCGTGAGTGTGTCTGTCTGCACTGGTCTGCACTCTCAAGTTACTGATATGATGTAACAAGTGACTTGACAGCTCAGTGGATTAGTGCTAAAATAAGGAAGACGTGCACTTGTTTCCTTGTGTTTTTTAATAGGAGGTTCAATAGGAGGATCAATTTTGGGGCAAATTGCGTTTGTGATTGTCGGAAGATTCAGAGAACCAGTATGGCAGCGTGTTTTTATATCAGTACTTGAGTGTCAAAAATGAATAGTTGCACAAAATACAGGACAGACATGACTCAAGTCATGGCAGCTTGAGTCTAAACATGAAGTACTTGATGTGTTTTGTACTTAAGTGTTTGATGCTGAGCACTATTAATCTTCCCCTGCAGACATCCATGCTGTGCTGCTGTCAGATGTGCTCCTCCTCTTACAAGAGAAGGATCAGAAGCTTGTATTTGCTGCTGTGGTGAGTTCTGCCAAAACATTATTCTGTGTAGAGAGACTCTGTCAATAATGTGTTTTTAGCTCCCTGAATACCAGAATGCTCCAAAGACAGATGTGTTCACACTTAATATCATAAACTTGTGTGATCCAGGACAGATCGTGATAATTGCTTGCATAATAACCCCTGCTTTATCATTGCGACTCACGCAGGACAACAAACCACCAGTGATCCCCCTTCAAAGGCTGATAGTTAGAGAAGTAGCCCATGAAGACAAAGCCATGTTCCTTATCTGTGCCTGCACCACCAGCTTGCCGGAGATGTACGAGATCCACACAGGCTCCAGAGAGGAACGCATCACCTGGACGGCCCTCATACGAGAAGCTGTGGAACAGTAAGCTGAGTAATGAGTTCTCGGAGGGGAGCAGAATGAGTTGTATTGGGCAATTTGCCCATTACATTTAAACTTTCTTCTACAAACGTTATAAAAATCTGGGCATTAGTTTTTTAACTACATTTTCACTGACCATAGTGTGGATAAAAGATGACTCTTGGCCTGACAGTGGCACTGTATGAAAGCCCAGGTTGTCATGGGAATCAATGTAATGTGAGAGCCATGAATATACAAACCACATTTCATGGCAGTCTTGTCAGTAGTGTACTAGTTGAGATGTTAAAAAAAAAAAATAAAAAAAATAAAAAAATAACTGGGGGGGGTGTATCTTTTAAAATATATCATAATAGACAATACTGAGTCAAATGTCTGTGTTCTCCAGCTATCCTCAAAAGGAGCTGCAGCGCGAACTGATTGCTAAACTGCAGCATTGTCAAGGTAAGACAGTCGAGATTACTTGTTCATATTCATACCAAGCTAAACATAAAGGCCAGATAATACCAGCACTTATGAGTCAAAGTCAACCTGCATTTCTACTGTATTTATTAAGACAAGCATGTTGTTGCTCTCTAGATGCTCTTAAGGAGAGGGATGACCAGATAATACAAAGTCTGACAGAGAAGCAGCAGATCTTTGCTGCTCTCTACGAGAACGCGATGGAGCAGGAGACACCCCACAAAGGGCTGCTGCTCCGAGGAGATGCTACTGACCTCCAGCAGGGGGGGGCGCTGCTCAAAGGAGCCATAGATGAGGGTAAGAGCTAAGACAATAACATCAGTTTCTACTCTGGTGTCAAAGAGTTAGACTCAGTTTTAGGAATTGGTTTTGTTTGTTACAGCAGGAATAATGAGGCAGTTTTCAGTATCAGTTATTTTTGCTGTGAGTAGCAGTGAGAAAACTCTAGTTTTTTAATCCTGAGGGTTTCACTGAAGTAAAAGTGAAACATTGTGTTTTCCCTCACAGCCCAGTCATGACTCAGAGAGCACTGATGATCTCTTTTGAGGAGGAGATTAAGAAGCAGTTTTTCTTTTGTCTGCAGTGGAAAACCTGCTGAACCTGCTCTTGTCAAAGATAAGAGACCCAGACCTTGTAATGGATGACAGTAAGATGCAGGGGGAGCTGCTCAGGCGGGCCGAGACCTTTGGAGCGGGTGACAGTGACTCCTATGAAAACACCATGAAAAGTAAGCTGTATTATATTCTCGTGTTAATAATGTGTGCACATTGGAACATACTGTGGCCACACAGCTAAACAAGTACAGTAGCAAACGGTTTTTAAAAAAACTTTTTGTTGGCTTGTTAACACTGTAAAATTATCCTGCTCACAATTTTTCAGGTGCATGGATTGTGAAATCTAAGTAAATATTTTGAGGAGCTAATAAAATATTTCATTTATTTACTTATTTTTGTGCAATTTAAGGATCCAACACCGGTTTTTAAAACTCTCTGGAATGCCACAGTATCTTTCAACATCTATTCAAATTTGAGCAGTGCTTCTCAAAGTGGGTTCGGGGGCCACCAGGGGTCCTTGAGAGGGTTCCCAGCAAAAAGGGGAATCATTTATTTTCACTATACAATGTAACACAATGAAACCCATGACCAAAATAGTTATATATTCTGTCAAACACTTTCTGTAATAAAACATCTAAAAGTAAAAACCCTATCTGATGGATTAGAGACTCTGGGAAAAAATCTTATCAAATTGGGGTCTGTGGTCTAATTTGTGTCAGTTTAGGGGTCAAACGTGAAAAAGTTTGACAACCTCTGCAATAGAGAAAGTAAGGGAATTATTTTTTTTCTACAGTCCACAAGCTTACATACACTATATAAGTCACATCTGGGACTGCTTAAAACACTGTGTTTCACACAGTCATTGATTAATGACAACTGTTTAATACCTAATAACTGTCTGAGCAGAAAAACAAGTCATCTTGCAGTGTGTATCTGTACCATATAGCAGTGCTGTTCTGTACACCCTTATCAGCAAAAATAAAGAAAATATATGTATTTTGTAATGGTGTTGACAGACTTTGGATGTGTATGATTTACAATCCTCAGATGGACATGTAGCTGAGAGGCCAGGTAGCAGCGAGGGCAGTCAAGTGCACCTCAGCCACACCACAGAAATAAACTGTCCTGAAGGCCTGGAACAGTCTGTGAGTCAAGTATGAACAGGATCTAAACCTCACCTTCATCTGGTGATAAAAATAAAAGTAAAACTATTTACACAGCTTCATCTATTTTGCTTCAAGGCTGATGACGAGACACTCCCAGTGCCAAACTGCAGTTCAGCCTCCAGTCATCTCCCTGAGACAGAGGTAACCCTGCTAACACTTATTGTGCTAATCACTTTCCTCTCCGTATTCATTCATGCATATTGATTTTGATGTCTGCCACTGCCACTTATTTTTCTCTGCAGGTGTATAACAAGGTGATGATGCTCATAAGGATGCTCTACAGCTTAAAGGTAATGCACTGTAAACTGTTCTGAAATCTGTAAGTGTTTATCTTTATGAAGCTAAATGAGTGATTATGAGAATAATATAATTCGATTACGACAATAAAAGTAAGCCGTTGTGCGATTGTTTATGGTTTGTTCATATTGAATATACAGGCAGTCATCGCCCAGCAGGACAGCCAGATTGAACTGCAGCGCGCTTTTCAAACAGCCAGCCAGCAGCCTGCTCGTCATTACAGCAATGTGCTGCTTGAGCAGGAGAAGCAGCGCAACCTAGAGAAGCAGAAGGCCGAACTCGCCAACTTGCACAAGCTACAGGCTCAGCATCAAGAAGCACAGCAGCGCTGGGAGAAGGAGAGGGAGCGGCAGAGGATACAGATTGAGACTCTGGAGGCTCAAGTGCAACAGAGGGAGGAGGACTGCAGGAAATGGGAGGAGAAGCTGAACGGGGAGAAGGCCGAGCTGGAGACGCAGCGGGAAAACTACCAGCAGGACCTGGAGAGGCTTAGGGAGTCCACAAAATCAGTGGAAAAGGAGCAGGAGCGAAACGCACAGGAGAGGGAGCGTTTGGAGAAGTTAAAGTCAAAGTACATCCCAAACCCAGGACACTCCAACTATGATGATCCTGCACAAGTGAGGAATCTGACTCACTGAATATCTACGAATGTTATTGACATTTCTGTGTATTTCTCTGTCCATCTGTTTTAGATTAATGCTATGCTTGCTAAAATTGAAAATACATTGACAATTTTCAACATTTTGTTTCCATCAAAGTTTAATCCAGTCAGAGAACAGCAGGTCAGGAAAGTCTATATAACAGTAATGGATTAACATCCTCTAAAACAACATAATCAGAGCTAACCCGAGCCTTGATTTAATGTTGATACTTCTTAAAATGACATAAAATACAGAATCAGAAAGAAGCACTAGAGTCAGTAGATACTCTTCACAGGTTGAAGTCAAGAGTGAGATAAGAGTTTGAGTAATACATTTCCTCTTTCTCCCTAGAGCTGGAATCTCTCCAGTTACCCATCATTCAGGGGAAGCATAGTGAATGGATTTGGGAATCAGACCTTAACTCCAAAGCCCATCACCTCCAATCTCATGGAAATTCCTCCAAAAGTTCCACCACGCAAGGAGAGCATCAGCCCCCAGCCTGCCAAACCCGAGCTGCCCGTCCACCTGATCAGCACCACCAACCAGGTGCACAAACCTCCTGCCGTGCATCAGAAGATCCCCACCAAGCTGGCTACTCTGCCCAAGGGAAAGGAGAAGGCCTTAAAGATGAAGGGGTCCCACCAGAGGACGCACAGTGCAGGTCAGGACACAGGCCTGTGAACACCATATCTTTATGTTGCAGTACAAGGGTTAGGTTTTAAGTCTTTGTGTGTTTTCCATTTGTTTTTCCTTTTATTCCTAATTTACTTAAGAAATAAAAACGGGTCTTTGCCATCCATCCATTTGAACTATACATTAAATATAGAGAGAGAAACCACTTTATTTCCTTATTTGTTGGTCCCAAACATTTAGCTTTAGCACCATAGCTAGCAAACAGCAAGCTCAAATCAGTCCTCAGATTCAAATGCCTTCAGATTTTGGTTTGTGTGTAACTTAAATGCAACTTTAAAATGGTTTCAAAAACATAATTATCATAAATAAATAACTTGGTGCCCCAAATCTACATCCAGCCTCTATAGATGTGAACCAGGTGCTGCCCATCCGAGTGACGGGGAAAGAAGGCGGTAGTCTGAGAGCCAAGAGGAACGGCAGCCCTCAAAGGATCTACCATTCAGGTACAGACAGAGAAACCGGAGATGGCCATTCACTCAGCCAGTCATAAAGATATCACCCATGCAAATTATCAGAATTGATAATCTATCCAAGTCTTTTGAGAGTCAAACACTCGCCAGTCTGCAGTCTGCCTCTTCAGAGAAAACAGCAGCTGTGCTCAGTTCATACACAAAGTAAAGTGACCATTTCAGGCACAGCCTGAACAGTGGGGCTGGTATTGTTTTCACCTTGAGTCTCTGTGTATGATCATGGCAAAATTGTTCATAGATGTTAAGTGGGAAAAAAATGATTAATGAAAAAATTTTAATATTGATCAGAGGTATTCATTTATTTTATTAATTCTCCCCTCAGATATGTTCAAACTGCCAGGATCTGTCCACAGTGTGAAAATGTCTCAGTCCTTCAGCACACACAAGAGGAGCAGCAACGAGGCTCCTCCACCAGCACCACCTCCATTCCCCAAAGATGTTCTGGAAATGGGCAAAGAGAAGGTAATCTTCCTTTAGTCATAAACTACAGACTGGAGTTTGGACGAGGCCTCTTTCTGCATAAAGACTTAAACACATGGAAAGACTGACAGAGCTGTGAAGAGACACTGCACATTACTTCATGACGTCCAGGTGTATCCAGTGTGAAGACCGGTCACTGTTATAGTTCTCTATCACAGGAAGCAAGCTGTTGAAACCAGCTGAACTTGGGGGGAAAAAAAGGCAAAGTGATGGACGTGTTTATAAGAAAAAAATGTAAAAAAGCTAGACCCAGTTGTACATTTGGGAAAGATAATATTTTAACTTTTTAAAATGTTGCTAAAACTTTGTTGCCCAAAGCTTTTTCCCTAAAGAGTTCTTTTATCATTTTTATTTTAAATGAAAGTAGGTTGTCTGTAACCATTTAGCACTCATGTTTTAACTTGTACGCTTTCTTTTTAATTTAAGGAATGAGTAATGCATTGTGAGGAAGCTATAGATTTGACAAGTTTACATCTGTTTAGATATGAAAGTGCAAAGCACATAATTTTGTTTTAGAATGAATCAGATCATTTTGAAAATTGTACTGACCTGCTCCTCAGTATCTGTTCTAATCAAGAGGTAAATTAAAAGGGTTCGTAGAAAGGCTGGACACAGGGACAGTCCACGACACAGTATCAGCAGGACTGTTTGTTTACAGCTGCTGAAACATTTGAGAATGTAACAGAATGGTTTCTGAGTGACATTCCCTGTTCAATAATCTCCTGATATAATTTAACTTTTAACATAATGTTGATGATTTTCTCTGCTAGAGACACATTGACAGTCGTCACCTCTTGGATCCATGTAAAATATCTTCCAAACCCCAACTAATGGGTCATGGAATAAAAAGATGGTTGACTTTAGAGCCTTGTGTTTTTTGTGGATTGACTTTGTGTGGTTGAGAGAAGCAAAGAAAAATCGAACACATCAAGGACATTCAAAGGATATGTTCACAATGTTTTAAAACAATAGTCAGGTGCCCATGTGATCATTTAAACAGGTTTTCATTCTGTACAAAACTATATTTTTAAATTCATCAGTCACTAATATGAGGCTTCAGCAGTCTGAGTGTGATGAATCCAAAGTAAGTCTTTTTAGGACAAAATCTCTTTTTATGTTCTCCACCGAAGCTCAGCAGGGAAAACACTCTCCATGTGTAACTTTGGTAGATATGATTTGATTAAAGGTTTCCTTTGGAGTTGTTGAGCTCTAGATGCGCTATGGAGCTGCTTTTGCTGCGTGGGTCCCTGTTTTGTTTATCTCTGACATAACAATGTTCTTGATAGTCTCGCCTGACTTTGTCCCACATCCCTTCCATGTGTTTGGAAGGGATTTTAAATGGCTAGTATGAACAGAAGGAATGATTGCAGCTGTTAATAGTTATTTTTTTTAAACTGTGAGAATTGGTTTCCCTCAATCCCTCAAGCTTTCTTACTAGGTGTTAATTAGCCTCCTGACTGCTCACCAGATGTGAATCAGGCATCAGGTTGATAGCTTCAGATGTTGGAGGCTTCACTGCTGTTGCACACACATCATCATCCTGTGCTTACAAGTTAATATCTTACAGGATTTCAATAGTTCAGTATTCAACAGCTGTTGTGGCCATTTGATGTTCAATTTCACTTCATTTGAACTAGAAAAATACTAATATCATCTTATGACACCTATTCCTGTTAAATAGGTGTCATAAGATGATATTAGTCCCGTAATACATTGTTGCTTGTGACAAAGGATGCCAATAACAAAATATATGCAGGCACACATGGCGCTGTGTGATGCTTCGCACAAACCGATCCAACAAACAGCATGCTAGTTGATCAGATAAGTGATCCAGAGTAAATAGAAACTCACACACTCCTCCACTTTGAGTAACTGAGCTGACGCTACAAAGAGCCTCTTTGTCAGAGTGCTGTTCATCTCTGCAGAGCCTGAACAGGAGTGTAGCTTTCCACAGCTGGAGGGCTGTGATGAAAAGACACTTTCAGACTCACAGAACCGCTGGCAGAGGCTGAATTATGTTGGGCATCAACATATCCAGGTAGTAGCAGCAGTAGACGGCAGCATCCTTTCTTAAACCTACACTTTTAATGTGTAATAAGAACAAAAGACACCAAATATCAAATACAATGTTTGTTTATTATATGTATTCCTCAACAGAGGCATTAAAAACCACTTGGTGACAACAAACTATACTGGTGAATGAATAATCTCATGTCCTGGAAAACACTGCTCTATTGAATCAGCGAGGGCACACATCCAGACAACCAAGCTGCTGTTGTTTGACCTCTGACCAAGTTATTTTTACCTTTTAACCCTCGGCTTTTAAACAGGTCTTGGTAACAGGCGTCAGAAATGAATGAAAATCAGAAATATATCTGTAATACAGTGTACAGAGTGAAGTGACTGCTGGGCTCTGGAGTTTTAGATGGCTCCTTCAGGATATACTGACACCTTGGCTTCCGTTTCTTTAAAGCATTATGAATATACATGAACATATACAGACATGAACCAACAACTTCTGTCAGCACATGAATTAAAAAATATTGTGCAAATGCTTCATATAAACTAACCTAGGAACATTGGTAACCCATCACTCGCTCCTCAGTTCACACATTAAACTGTAGAATCCGACAAAAACACAGTGCTTGTGTTTTTCATAAGCTTTTTACCATGACACATTCTACTGCACCTCCCAACATGGACACCATAAGGCCAAAACCAGTTCTTAAGACAAAATGAGTAACTACTTGGGGAACAAAACTGTGGTGGCCCATGTTTTTTAAAGTGTCGCACCACCAATAATGTATACAAAGTCTACACTATAGATTATACACTACATTTTATATAAAAGGGAAAAATTGAAATTATTGCATGCAAAACAAAATATACCAAAAATAAGATGAGGAAACATCAACAAATGCTTCAGTTTGAAAAAACAAAAATCTAATAGCTTTGGCTCAGTCAACAACCATGATAGCACCACATTTTAAAGGTTATGACACTCTTCAGCCATCACTGTTGTACTTTATATTCTGACACTGGATTACTTTATAATGTACTGGAGGGATAAAGACAGCTAAAATGGCTTCTTATGTAGTGTGTATCAGTGTGCTTTTGAGATGAAGGGTCCAAGTATGATTCAGACGAAGTGCTTGAAAGTTTCTTTACCCAAATTCTCCAGCCCTCAGAAAAATCGTTGGAAGCAGCCCCCTCAAATCTAACTTTTTCCGAGACAATCTGAATCACGCTGGCTTCAGACAGCGATTGGCCAGCTGTGTAGTGTTCCTGTACTGTGCATCCATGTAGACATACCACAAATGCCTTTGTACAACTCATCGCTTCAAGTGCAGCTGTAACAGCTTTAGACACTTTGCCTTTAGACATGCTCAGTCAACACATCTCATACAAACACATTGTAAGCATAGTGAGACCTTTAAGGTCTGGTCACTCAGGAAAAGTGGAACAGTGAAATGTCTGGTTCTAGGGGCTTGGTGACATTGTGACGACTGGCAGGGCTAGTTGGAACTTCTGTAGCTAGTGAGCTAACTGCTAACGTGCCGACCAGCCCAAACCATGCTAGCACCAGTCATTCCGAATTTATCTGCTCTCTGCCGATTTCCCGATTGCCAGTTCTCGATTGATCAGTTTGTCTCCGAAATGTCAGAAAATTGTGAGAAGTGCCTGTCGTAAGTTCTTAAAGACCAAGATGATGTCTTCACGGGTCATGACAGTAAAGCTTGCAATCCTCAAAATTGAGAAGCTCCAATATTATTATTTATATATTATTTTCTATTGATCCACTAATAGTTGCAGCTCTACATTAACTGTTTACAAATTATTCCTCTTTCATGGCTCATTTTATAATACTTAAGGAGATTAAATCCATCACTAATAGATTTTGATTTAAATTCCCAAAGTTTGAAAAAACGTATCATGGATTTACCTCACCTCTCTGAATGACTGCAGTGACTACAGCATCTGCATTGACATGAATTGTTTTTGCTGCAAAATTTTGCCATTTCAAATGCTGGTGTGACCGTGCCTTTAAGGTTTTTAGGAGCCTCAGCTGAGTGTGAGGGTAGTATTTAGGGTTCAAAAGCTTGAGTAGCTTCCAGATTTGGCTTTTCACTCCCTTTACATAGGGACAGTGGCACAGACCAGTGGTGGAATAAGTACTCTGATCCTTTACTTAAGTAAAAGTACCAGTGGAATAAATTTAGTGGGATGAGTGTAGTGGAGTGTCTCTGAGATGTAGTAGAGTAGAAATCTGAAGTAGCATAAATGGAAATACTCAAGTAAAGTCCAAGTACTTTACAACTGTACTTACTTGAGTAAAAATACTTAGTTACTTTCCACCACTGGTCCAGACTGTGCAATAGGTTCCTAGAGGAAGGTGTGGGTGAAGGTGGGGCTTCTGTGCTGGGTTTATACTTGGTGTGTTTGTCAGTTTCAATGCCTCGACCTTGTGTCCAATCCTGTGTCCCCGCTGAGCCAGCCATTCAGAAAATGCAGATTTCTTCTGCTCTTCCCTTCGCACCAAGTGCAAATAAATGTCCGTATTTAAAATGTCCATTGACTGAGACACAATGTAGAAAAAAACTCAACAAGAAATAAAACATGAAGTGAAATGGAATATACCATACTAGAAGTCCTTTCAGTTAGATTTGTCTTTGTCTTCATCTCTCTCAGCCGGGGGCATTTCCTGAGGCGGGTGCTGGGGCAAGCCTTCGCTCTGAGTGGTGGCTTCTGAGGTTTGTGGCTCTGGTTTAGTAGAGGGCCCCTCTGTCTGTGGCGCTGCCGTTTGTGTACAGTTTATCGGTGCGAGTGCTATGGCAGGCTGCAAAGGACAAAAAACAGAGCCCATTTGAGATCACTGAAACGTATCAAACTGAAAACTAAATATAAATTATTTATGATAATTACAGATACAAAAGAGCTAGGATAAGACAAACACAATCATAAAGTATACAGTCATTCCTCTGTCCACAAGATTATTTTTTCATCACATTTTCCTTTTAACAATTTATCCAAATTAAAGGAGATTTGTGCTTAATATTGTTGTCAGAGGCATTCCTGTAGTCAGAAATTGAACAGTCTCAGATATGCATCATGGAAAGGAAAGCCTATCCAAATAAACCCACTGGGGGTTTGAAGCCCATGAAACCATACACAAAGCTGTTTGAAAAATAACAAGCTAGTCTACATGACTGTCAGCACCACCAATGATTACTCTTGTTGTAGTTACCCACTTTGCTAAGCGATCACTAGTCACACACACACACACACACACATATACAAAAACACATATCTACTCTTCAGGGAAAAACAATAACAAAAATGAACCCTAAGTAGAATCAGGATGTTTTAATGGTAGAGTGTGAAGTAGCAAGCCCAGATAGAATACCTGCAGTGACATTCACAGACAGCTGAGCCCTCAGCAGCAGACTAGAGCACACCCACAGTAAAATGAAGGGCAAGGAGCAGCGATGGGAGGGAAGGGGGGGAGGGGGACAGTACAACAGAAAGAGGCAGTTGGAACGAATGGAATTATTTAAAGGGGTTACTCAACTTGAAATTCACTTTACTCTGCATGTTATTTAACACTAGATTTTTTTGTTTGTTTTCTTTTGTTGCCATTTTTTTTTTTTTAAGTCTTTTTGTTCTTCGGCAGTAGGCAGTCATATCAAACTGGTATTCACCACAAATCCACTTCCAGTCCAGAACTGGGGCAACTCCCTGCGCCACAGCGCTACAGTGAGGCTGGTGAGCAGAGTGCAAGGCACCAGGTAGAGCAAGGCCGGCTGACCCATCTGCATCAAGGCCAGGGCCACGAAGGTGATCAGCAGGCCGATGCCGTAAGCTG